AAAATTAAAGTAAAGGATAAATAAGTAGAGTAAGAAAAATCAAACATGTATGATTAATTCTCTATTAATTCTCTTGCGATCTAAATTTAGATTTTAAAACAATACCTTTGTAATTTAAATTCATTCTTTTTTTGCGTTTTACTGAATAAATTTGTGTTGAGAAGATGTGACTAAAATTTTATTGTAATAAAACCAGAAGGTTCTTTTTTTATAATCACAAGACAATAAAAGCAGAACGTGTAAATGTAACGTGTCTATTTCAGTTCTCGGTTCAATTTTCAAGAAAATCTGATAACAATCTTCCTATAATTTAGTGTCTACAAGTTTCGATCGGGAACGCAAACGTTATACCACGTGTTCAAGAAGGACTCGGAGTGTTCAAGAAAATGAGGAACTGAAAGGGAACGTGAAAAGTCTCAATGAAAGCTCGTAACCGCGTAACAGATATATCGAGACAAAATTGAGATTGGTTATCGAAGGCAGCAACTTCCACGCGAGAGGAAGCGAGGGGTAGACGTGTCGAGATGGTATAGTGCCGGCTCAAATCGGATAGTTTGTTCATTAGAGATATTTTCCGACGGATGGACGACGAGAGGCGGTCGAGGGAGCGTGCTCGGAGTGTATTTGTCTTGATAAGTTTGAGGCAGGAAATGAGACTGTCGATGGGGAGGAGAGCCCGTGCTCGCTTCCCATGAAAGAAGCCGAACCGCCAGAAATGAGGATTTCGATTCATTTAACGAGGAATAACGGCTGTACCGAAATATCCTGATAGTCTGGAGGTCAACCGTGCACAAAAATTCAAAGATAAATGCCTTGTTAAACAAATACTGTATCTGTTTAGGAAGTCCATAGCCATTACGCTGTCAAAATTTCAAATGCACCGCATTATGAAAAAGTAATTGCCAAAATGAAATGATTAGCAAAATGATCAAAGCAAATGTAAATCTTTAAAAAAGAAACGTTTCATTGACATTATAAAATTTCATATAATCAAATGTCTTACATGCATCTAGTTTGAATATATTAAAAATAATTAATAATAGAGAATTAAAAAGTAAAAACAAAACGCTAATTATTCATTTGCCAAAACGCATTGCTAACCATTTCAAAGCTTAGTTTCAAGAATTTTGAAGCTAACTGCATCTGAATATCCGCCATTATATATCGATTGCAGTCAGAATTTCATTGTTATTACGACCATTCGAAAAGCTCATAAAAGGGCGATTGACTCGAATGCATCGAGTTACTTTTATATTCCAAAAGCGCGTATGAAAATTAATGTAAATGCAATGACCGTTAACTCAGCGAGCATTAGTCGCGCGTTTAAGAATCCAAATAATGGAGAACACGTTCTAAAACTAGAATGATCTTTCAACTTTCATCAACTTTATTGTGCTTAAAAGTAAAAGAATAATATTACTATATATTCAGAAATTTCTATTTCAAAATTCTAAAGTTAAAAAAATTAAAGCTAATATATAAGTTAAAATTAATAATTACTCCAATGTAATCAAAGCGATTGTTGTTAAATGTATTAATTATAACATAGAGATAGAAAAAATCCCTATTGTGAAAATGGAATGTAATCAATCATTTTGATTATGAATTAACTCAATGAATCTTAGTATTATGAATAGTAGCATAGAATTTTGATGTTAAAGACAGATGTTAAATCACCAAATTATTACTTCGATCAAACACTTTTGTCCATCGATAGATCTGCTTTTGTTCGCTGCGAATAGCTTTATCAAAAGTATTATCGATTTTAGACACTAATGCAACCAGTAGAAAGAGGATGACAAAGCAAAAGCAGAGTAGAATGAGATAAAAGGAAAGAGAGAAAGAGAGAGGAGAAGGAAGAGGAAGAAAAGAAGAGAGAGAGAGAGAGAGATTTTCGCTCCCGTATCAGTGGGCAAGGCCCGTTTGACCTGGCACACATGCCGTCCATAGATCAACCAGAACCCTTAGGCCGAACCCCACCATGCCACGGGCTAACCATTAATTTACAACCCGCAGAGTAACCCCATGCCCCTCCTGCATACAGGATCCGTGTCCCCTTGCGGCAGATATGAGCTACGACGTGGCGCTGAGGGATTCAACCGCTCCAGTTCCCGGACGGTCCTTTCTATCTCTCTATTCGGTCTTCTCCGCTCATCGTCTCCAAGGTTGCGCCCAACCTTTAAACGAACCTCTTCACCTATCCGAGAAATGCATCGTTATGCCACCAAAGGCAAAAAAAAACATTTTAATCTATTGATAAATTAGATTAACTTATAACTCATAGATATTCTTCGCGAATCTTACAACAAAGCTTGATTTCACTGAAAAATTATATATCCTTAGTCACTTAACGTTCCTTATCCAAAAATCAATAACCTGTATAGAAATCAAAAGGATTCTCTACATTTGCCGATTCAACATTCGTTCAGTTTTAATAATCATAATAATTTTATATCTCTAAACTAAAAAGTTATTTATGTTAATCTTTTGTTAATCTCGCAATCTTGATCTTAGACTTTTTCAACAGTAAACTGAAATTTACGCAGCTCAATATGTTCATAACAACTTCGTCGTGAAAGGAGTAAAGAACAAAACTCTTAATTGTCAGTGGACCTTAAACTATCCAGGACACGGAAGAAAGGCACGAAAAAGACTAGAAGGGAGCAGATTCGTTAAGATCGCTAAGAAGAAGGGAAGGAAGAAGGAAGAAAATCGCAAATAAATGCTAGGAGCCGAAAGGGTGTGGGAAATGCTCTTTGATTTTGCGAGCTTTATTTTCGCTTAATAAGCGGGTGCGAATAGGCCCGGCTGTTGCTCGTGCTTTGTAACTCGACGGAAGTAAGTTGTCCCCTGTTTCGTTTTGTTGTCCAGCAGTTCCTTCTCTCCTCCGTGTCGCGACCTCCTTCCCCTTTCCTCTCCTCCCGCGGGAATGAAAGGAACGAATAATTAGAGAAGGTTGGCGGGCACGGCCCGAAAGTTTCTGGCCAATTAATTAGACGGAGAAATGCACGGCACGAGAGGTAACCAGCGCATAAGCACCAGAGACGGCAATTTAAACAGCGACAATTCGACTGCGATTATCGTTGCACAAACGTTTTGACGGCGCGCTTTTATAATATAAAGACTTCAGTGTTGATAATGGCGGATATTAAGGACTTAAATACATAATAGGGGATCTATGTGCGCTATAAAATTCATAGAATTTAGAATTAAAAAAAGATTGAATAGGTAAAATATAGCTAGAAACGCAAACAAAAATAAAGAAAAAAAATGTGAAAATTTTTAATTGCAATAAAATACATATCGTAGATAAAAGATTCACAAATTATAAATAGAAAGACGTATTTCGAAAAAAAGCTTAAATATACGTAAAGTATATTAATTGCAAAATAATCTTTACGCATTTTTTAAATTCACACTTTAACAATTATATTCCTACTATGCAGAAGATAAAACTTTTTATAATTAATGTTACAACCTTCTATTTAACTAACATTTAATTAAATCAACATTTATAATATTTTTAGTTATATTTTTTTGTTATTATATTTTTAAAATGATAATTATATTAATAAATTTTATATATTTGAATTATATCAATCAATACAGGTTAACAATAGTTTAAATATTTAAATAAAAGTAAAAATTGAATAAAAAAGAAAATAATAAAAATAGTCAAGTATCGAAGAGAGAATTTCATTATTTATAAGCTTAAAACATCTTCACATTACGTTCCGATAATGGTACCTATCCATCGGCAAATCGCGCTGTGTTGTCTTCATTGATCTTAGAATAATAAAACAGGCTTTACATTTGATGGATGATAAGACGCACGCGCTCCCCTTTCACACTATGATATACAATATAGGTAGTGCGGCTGGACGCACCCCTTTGACCCTCCCGCCGGTCTCTCTTCTTTCGACCCTCGTTGTCGGACTCGCCCCTCGTTTCCTCCACTTAAAAACCGGTAATTACTCTGCTGGTGCGCTCTGGCATTTACCATCCGCTTCGGTGTTACTCTGTTTTCTGCTTAACAGCGACACTCGACTCGAAACTCGATTTTCGCAGCACACTATATATCATTGCATTATACTGCGCATTAGTCCTCGTGATGCGAACAGCGCAGTGAATTAATTTTGCAGTGAGTATCAAAAACGCTACCGTAAGCATCTTGCAGCACGTTATAGTGTTTTATATAACCTTTTACAGGTAGCGTAATAATTTTTCACTTTAACCGTATTCTTCTTTAAATTATTATTACTGTTAGTATCATTTAATGATTATTAAATTATCTGCATTATTAAATTTATTATTATTTTCTCATTAAAAATATTAAACCTTATATACCTATTTAACCTTATGTTATTAACTTTTCTCGCTATAATATTATCCGTAATTTTTTTCCATTTCTCTTGTGAACGATGTTGAAAGAATAAAGTGTAAAAAATATAAAACTTAAATTTACGAACTACCGATCGGTATACTTATTTTTAACGGAAACAACCTTGGCACGTCAATCATGTTAGGATTTTCTACGCTTAACGACCGAAATAAAGCGATCTAATGAAAATTTTTGAAAAATTGACACACGATTGTCACGTTACAAATTTTCACAAGAATATTCTGATTTTCATACTTGCTCACACAGCAGAAAAGATCCAAAAAAGATCACAGAGATATTCTAAAGATGTCACGATATCTTTAGACTCTGTAATGTATTTTGAACATTTCTGCTGTGTCGAAAGTTACTCATATATGAAGATATTCTTAGCTTTTTCTATAGATATAAAAAATCTTTTTAAATGAACAGATTGAAATAATAAAATCTATCAAAATTAATAAAAAGAATATATAATAAAAATATTATAATTCTCTCCTCTTATATACAATGTTTATACAATGTGTATACATATGTATGCATATGTATAATGTGTATACATATGTATCATATGTATAATGTGTACACATATGTAATTGTATATGTACATACAATTACTTACCTTGATCGTCGGGTGGTGGGATCTTTCATGACCATAACCTCTGTGATGTCTCCATACTTGGTGAAATACTCCCTGAGGCTCTCTAAAATAATGAAACAATTTGTTTATTTCTTATAAAAGAAAGAAGTCATCATCATATAAATATTTTCCAAATAATTACGAGACTAAACGTTAAAATATTGCCATATTACATTTTTCTTATCATAAAATATCCTATTGTGTCACTTTCATTCGAGAAAACATTGCGAAATATTTTTATCGCAATGTATATTTGTCATTTTTTTTATGAAAATGTTCTTTTACGTGAATATGTCTGATAAAATGTGACATCGCGACGGAAACTCAAATTGTCCCTTCGCACAGGCATCTGTCAACCAAAGTTAGAGCTGAAGGTAACACAGAAGATCACTGACGCTAATTGGAATTAGTAGATAACAACGCGAGTCGACACTTCGGGGCGTAATCCCTGTAGCCTGATAAACGCGGTGCGTGCGTCCAAAGTAAAGCTTTAGCTTAACACGACCTAGCTTTGATGGTAGCTAATTCTACACATTGTGCACCTGCTATGACGAGTTTGCCCAATGATCATTTTCCGTTAATGCAGATTAATAGTAATAAAATTCATTGTAAAATATGCATTAAAAATAACGTAAAAATAATTAAATCAGAATTATATAACTAATAGATAAAGATAAATTCTTTCATTTCTCGATTAATTTTTATAATTTTTCTATTAAAAAAAATAACTTCGTAAGATAAATTATTCAAATTAAAGTATTTAAAAAAGATGCACGCACAATACGTGACGAGAAATCTACAAATTATATATGATTCCCTTGAAACCTGAAAACACTGATATCTTTTTCTACATAGTGAGAAACAATAAAAAGGAAGAAAAAATCATCTATCACTTAATGTCTATTTTTTTTACTTTTTAGTTGGCTGAGAAATTATCCAATCGCGCACGTGCCATACGATCAATGCGACCGATGTAACCAATGTAGAGCTTCTTCGCTTCTCTCCACTAGGGACACCCCCTTGACCCTTTTCGTAGGTTTATAGCGAAAAGCTGAACACTGGCGGCGGGCCAGCATGGCTGCGCTCCAAATACGTCTTACACCTTATCTAATTATATGCTGTTTCATCCAAACCACTTTAAAGACTTCGTAATGTTCGGCGGTTATTTATCTATGCAATCGCGGATAAGTTTCAATAAATCTTCAACACTTTAAGACTTTAAGATAGGCCAAGAAGATAAATATATAAATGTTTACTTTTACATAAAATTGTTAAAAAAATAATATATATTAACTAAAATGTATAATTTATGATATCGAGGCAATAAAGCATGACTGTCTCAAAGAACAGATGTTTGGAAAAAAGTTAATTATTATTCTTTATATTAAACAAATACAATCCTTCTTAATTAATAATAGCTTTTCATAATTATAAAATTATAATAAAAAGAGCTTATAAGATACAGTAATATTAAAATTAAGAAATTATAAAAAATATAAAATAGCATACATATAGTCGTTGATAAAAACGTAATAAAAGTCCAATTTAAAAAATATGAAATAAAAAAAGAGAATTAATTGCTTATTAAATAGAAATATATAAATCTTAATTATTGCTTGCATTTTCCATGAGAAATACGAGCAAACAAACGACTACAATAATAAATGCTTGGAGTGTCTGATAATTGTTATTACCAAGGCACGGAAAATACAAGATAACTGGACTTGCAAATTCAGCGCACGACATTAATCAATGAATTATTGGTATCTCCAGGTCATTAGCCGTCGGGCACCACCTGTTTGGTAACGAGCCTCACGCATAAATTACATTTCTGCTCCTCCACTGTTAATTAGTGACACCAAGTCGGAATTCTTAAGGAGACGATATAGCAGGAGCTTGTTATCAACCCCATGTCAGTTAATGTTCGTTTTATGACAAAACATTTAAAAGATAATTAGGTTGAACTAGAGATATTGACGTCATCGTTTAATACGCCATTATCTTTCTCATAAATAAATTCTATTAATATTAAATAAATATTAATATTAATAAAAAAAGATATTATCAAAACACACCGTTGAGTTGTGTCTTAATAAATTTGTACTTTTGTTTAATTTAAAGAATTTTTTTGAAGATGAAAAAACAAGCTCTTTAAAGTATTGTTTAAAGTATTGTTTAAATCTTGAAAATATGCAAGTAAAGAACAATAAAGCAACAGACTGATTGTATTTTTTCTAATTGAAACTTTTATTAATAAATACAAAAACAAGACTGATAAATTCTCTAATAGTTTACTTCGATTCTATTTAGAAATATAGATAAAAATATATGAATAAGTGATAAAAATTATTCCTATACCTTTTAAATGTATTAAGAAACATAACGTAATCAATTTTTAAATTTACAACAAATTTTTATAGAAATTTATACAACAAGATATAACAAGATTTTAAATTTATGAACGTAATGACAACTATGATTATAATTATGAATGTAACGACAACTATTAATACTAAAAATATTTTTAAACAATAAAATTTTAAAAAATAAATCTATTTAAAAATTCTCTGCATTTATTATGTTTAAAAGTTCAGATTTCTCGGAATGTAATTTTTAATTTTTACAATAGTTACTTGATAATTTTCTAACCTCACTGTAAAAACTTTAATACAAAAATAACATTAACTTGAGGGTACGAAGGGTATCCTCGTTCTCGCTAAAACAGACTTGCCAATTCTTCTTTAATTTGTCCCAGCTCTCGGATTGATGGAAGCAATTTCGTCGTTCTCGCGAGAAAACGCTCTTGAAACGCGGCCGCGATCCGCCGAAATTTACGGCTATCATTTCCTTAATTGTTCTCCGACACAGCTTATTTTTCACGCGCGGCCCTCGGCCGTCTCGCATTCTCATTTCACTCGTTGCAGTCACTAGGAAAATCATGCCTTGGCCCTTTGCCGGTAACGCGACCAGCTTACTCAGCTCAGAACTCTTCCCTGTTCCGAATAGCAACAAACGGAAGCTGGAGCGATTCGTTGTCGACTTCGAATGAAGAAGTACTTAAGGGAAATGGAAATGTTTACTTGTAACTTTCTTTAACTCTTCTTTGGAATGCAGCAATTTATAATGTTGAAAGCAAAGAAAACTGCAGTTCACTTGTTGAAGTGTAGTATCTGCTTGATTAACTGAATACGTATACAAATAGAATTGACAGAGATAGACAGAAAAAAAGAACTACATTTTCTAATACATTCTAAAACTTCCAATACATCCTTTAATGTGTTAACAATAAATAAATATTTTCAACTGTGCACTTTTTGTAATACAATAGAACTTACAATTCTACCTGGAATAAAGGAAGAAATTATATTATATTAAGGAGTTTACGAGCGGTGAATTTGCCGAAGTGGCATGCATTGTATTGCGTTTTGCATTGGTAATGTGCCAGCCATGGTTTTCTTCGGCAAAAGAATGCTGCGTTTCTATCGAGTTTGCAAACTTACATTTTATGTATCTTAACGTAAAATACAGTTGTTCATATATAACACATTTATCCTATGTTTTCGTAAATATAAAGTATATTTTTCAACTTTGAATAGATTCAGATAGACATGTTTATGTTCAATGTTTATAAAAATATAATCAAAATTTATTTCTTTCTGTGAGAATTTTAGCTATCTAATCTTCATGTAATGTTCATTAATATTTCTTAAAATAAAAATCTCGCCTTTTTTACAAATTTTGTAAAAATAAATAATAAATCTCTTCAGTGAGTATAGAATTATAAATAATTCTACATTGTTGTTTACGTCTAAATTATTGTGCGAAGTTTTACAAGTTTTTAGCAAACTAAGCTAAAAACTTTCTTTTCACTACATATAACTGAAGAGATCGAGGTGCTAGAAGTCCCAATAGCTTCTAAAGAATTGCCCAAAGAGCAGAGCTAATCCGAAACTTCTTTTCTACTTCCAAATCTGTAGATGCTGATGCAACCTTTACTTGCCTTCAATTTCTTCATGCTCTCCCTCTCTCTTTTTCTCTTTCTTCCTAGATTTTCCGTCTTACATCGTACTTGGAGCATATTGGTCGCCGTGGAGGAAACTCCAGAACCGACTATCCACGTAGTAGTCAATGGCAGAAGAGGAGACGTCGAGGTGGCGGGCTCCATTCAAATGAGATTCAATGCTGGAGAGGAATCTCGGAAGAGATGCCAGGAGGCTGAAGAGGTAGCAGAAGACGCCATAGAAGGGGAGCGGAGGTGAACATGATGCACGCTGGCCTCTGCTCGAGTGTTTTTCTATTCAGAGAAGACTCGCATAAAGTCCTATATACCGAGTTCTATCCTATCCTATCTCTCGGATCCCCCAGGAGTCAGAGAGGATACGGGATGAGAGAGGCGAAGGGGCGGTTCTCCCCCATTCCGGAGGACCGTTCATTGAAACGAATGGCCTTGTCCGCCTCTTCCTCCTCGTCTCTTCGTCTTCTCTATCTTCCTTCATTCCACTCCCATCCTATCTTCATGGTCTTCCCGTTTTTCCCTTTCTTTCTTTCTCTTTCTCTTTCCTCCTGCCGTCCTATCCCTGACCCTCGAACGTGCCTCTCCTTCCCTATTCGATCTCCAGCCGCGCTTCTTTCTTCGCTTCTTCCTCGAGTTACGTCTCCCGCGAATCTACTAGGATTACTTATCCTTCGCCAAAGGACGCTCAAGGCTCAACCTAAAGCATCATTTGAATAAACGCGGAGTTACTGCACGCCTGTTCCCGGCAGGCAAGAACGAGCGGGCGAGAGATAGAGAGTCTCTAGCTAGCGCGCGTCCCGCGGCTATATTAATGGCATCGTGATACCTCCGGAGCAAAAAGAAGACCCCTCGCTCTCTATTACTCGCGGGATGAGATTTCTGTCAGCGAGGATGTCACATCTTCGGCAACGGGTCACGATACTCGCGCACCGCGTTTTCGCTGTTATAGCGACGCGTCGAGGCGAAGAGAATTCTAATTTGGTTTACGATGATCGCGTACGATGAAATTCTTGCCATTCCTTGGAGCGTAACCGGTTAATAATAGCAGC